ATCTATCAAATTTAAATTCTCATATTTAAAATATTTTATAGATAATTTTACTTTTACAAATATTTTTTGAACCCTAACTACTTAATGATGTAAACATTTACATTAAATAAATTTGACAGTGTGAATGTTCACGTTAACAATATAGATGTTCACATTGATAGTGTGATTGTTCGCATCATAAAACATCCATATTGACAATATAAATATTAATACACACGTCACTTTATTATTATTATGAATATTTTAGTAATTATGTCACCCATAAGACTTATTGAAATATAAAAAGATAATTTGGGTTAAGTAGAATATAAATGAGGTAAAAATAAATTTATGAATAAATGTCACTGTGGTGTCACAATTTAATTTATTAATTTTAATAGGGGATCCATCACTTTTATACTAATTTTTTATGAGATAATTGGACAAGTGTATAAAGATAAATGATGTAGAACAATGTTGAGGCCTCGTTTGGAACAGGTTAATTTAGTAATTTTTTTGTTATTTGGCTAAAAAGGTAGGTAAAAAAAACTTGTATGTTTGGAATGACTTTTTGACTAATTACGAAAAGATGTGCAAAAAGTAGAGAGAAAAGATAATCTTTGACTTTTTGGTATGAGTTATTGGCTTTTTGACTAATTTAATAATTTTTTAACTAATTAACTAAAAAAGTAAGTCCCCAAACGGGGCCTGAAGACACCAAATAACCTTTCTCTAACATTCTACTTTTAACAAAAATAAATAAAATAAAAATTATCAACGACTAAAGAGTTAAAAGTCTTGTTGACCTTCATGTGGAACTATTATCGTTGTTTTCACATTACCCCTCGCAGAGTCTATCAGACATGGGGTTGCTGTTGTACCCAAAAGTCACAAGTTCACAACAACCTACTATGAGGCCTTGCGTGCTTTTGTGCGTGTCTGAGTAATCACCATAATATATTTACCACAAGTTATTTAAAGTAAATTATAATTACAAATCTTAAAATTTATTTAATATATTAATTATTTTTTGTTAAAAAAAAAATTACATCTGAATCTTTAAAAAATTTAATCATGTAACAAATAATATTTTTCATTAATCAATCATGAAGCCTTCCTTCTGAAGAATTTTGTTAGACTAACTTTTTGACTTTTTAATTAGGAGTACTTTTTTATAAATTCATTTTCATCTACTTATGTTTCATTTAATTCATATTATTTTCTTATATTTCAATAAATCCTATGGGTGACATAATTACCAAAATACTCCTAATAATATTTTCATTTACAGTGTGAATATTTCGTGATATGAATGTTCACATCATTAATGTGAATGTTCACATCGTCAATTTGAATATTCACAACATCAATGTGAATGTAAACATGTCAAATGTGAACATTCACACGTCAATGTGAATATTCACATTGAAAAATATAAATGTTCACATCACCAAATTACTAACCGAAAAATATTTGTAAGGGTAGAAATATCCATAAAATACCTTAAATATGGGAATTATGATTTAGTAGATCAAATGTCCAAATAATAGGATTTATTAGAATATAAGAATATTTTATAGACTAATTAGAATACAAACACTTGAAAAAAGATTTTCTAATAAATTTCTCTTTTAATAATTTTATCCTAACTAAAAAGGTTCTGTTTGGAATAACTTTTAACTTTTTATAATTTTATGAGAGAAAAAAAAATAATTATAGTTTGAATGTGACATTTTGTCTTATTTACTTTTTAGCATATTTTGTGTTTTAGTGTGCTAACTTAAGTCCCAACCATCTTGCCAAACTAGACCTAAGTCAATTAACATTTTTTAATCAAGTCAATATATATTCAATTAATAATTTTAATAATTTTATTATTATATTAGAAGATAGTTAGTAATTTTATTTTTTTGGCCAACTTTATTATTAACAAATTCTTGACAATAAAATATTTGAAGTTGCCACAATCACAAAAGATAATATGTATTTTTAGCAAAGTTTAATATGATTTTATTTGATAATTAATTTTTAATAATTTTTTTATGAAAAAATATTTAAAAAATAAATTAACTTTTTGTAGAATATTCTTTAATATTTTAAGCAAATATTCTTTAATTTTTTAACTAATTTAATTGGTACTTAAAATTTACCAATTTATTATGAGAAATTATAATATACACATCCTTTAAATGGGTATATCATATACATCTTTATTTATATTATTTTCTTCTTTAGTTATGTGGTGTTTTGAGAAATTGGTAAAAAGTTGATTTTTTGACTTTTTTAAATTTTTTGTGTAAAAAAATAGAGAGGTAATGTGACCTAAAAAAACTACCCAAAAGGGCCCTATGTCTCATATTATATTTAGTAGAAGTGAGCAATAGATATTTCGATCCGCCCAAACCGACCAAATTGAACCGATCCGCCGCATTTTGAATGGATGCGTGATGACGAACGGACAGTTGTGAATTGATTTTTTTCAATTCACCTAATTTTGGACTGATGACGGATTTGAAGTTCCTTTGGCCGCAATCGAGCCGCCAAATCACGACCACCCCTAGTAATTTGAAGACTTTGTGTTTTCAATTTGTTTAGATATTCTATTTGTGTTTTCAATTGAAAAAAAATTAGATATTTTGTTGTGTTTTTAATTTGTTTTCAATTTAGAAATCCGTTTATCAAATGACAAGTGTTGATATTTTGTATTTTTGTGTGAAAAATATAAAACTTAATTTTGTCATTTTTAAAAAAAAAATCATATTAAATAGTTTTTGAATAAAAAATAGTAATGAAATAGTTTTGATAATGCATGGTTTTCTTATATGTATTTATTATTGGTATTGACAATTTACTTGGTAATCTTTTAGTTATATTGAGTTGAATTATTATCCAAAAAAAAATATTAACAAATTGTATTATATTCAAAATTTGTAAAAGTTTAAACTGCTAAACTAATTTGCATCAATCTGCTCAAACTGGCGGACGGATGTGAATTGATTTTTTTCAATCCGTCAATTCGACGAATGGATGGCGAATTAGAGGTTTTCTGGCCATAATCGAACCACAAACACTTCTAATATTAAGTTATGACATTTTTTAATTATAATTAAAAAAATATAAAATTATATCATTTTTTTAAATTATAATGTACATAAAATATAAATGCTTGGGTAAATTACATTTACCTCCCCTAAGGTTTCTGACAAATACAGGGACCTCCCCTGTGATTTGAATAATTACAGTAACCTCCCTTACTTTACCTAACAATGTCAAGATTCCCCCAAAATTTGACGGCCATTTATACACCTAACAACCTTGCTATGTCATCAAATGTAAGCACTAAAATGCCCAAAATGCACTAAAATGCCAATTCAAGAATTTTCTAGACTATTGTTCTTTTGTAAAGAAGAAATTATCGAGGAATCTATTTTTCATGAACTCATATACCAGAAGCCTGTGACGACCTTCAAGGCAAAACCTTATCAATCTCACAAGATTTAAATGGTGGGTACTATTTATAGTTACAACCTCTATTCTAAACTGTTTCTCACCCTACTCAATTCCCTCAAGCTGCTTCATTGCAACAATAGTTTTATTAGCAAGAACGCCTCTGTAAACAGCCTCAAATCCTCTCCACCTTCCTCTTACACCCTTTCCTACTATCATTCAGATCAATGGGTAAAAAATTCTTCAAAGGACATCCACAAATTAAAGTCGTATCGTTGTAACTATAAAAACCCAAATCCCCACAATACCCAAAAACTTGACACTGATCACTAACAGCAACCTATCTCTCCATTGTAGTTGATCCACTACACTTAGGAGAGCTATAAATCCTCAAATTTCCATCACTTTCTAACTTCAAAAACCTAAGTATATCAGTCCTTTCAGCATAATCACTGCCATAAGCCATGATCACAAGGACAGAAAATGATGGATCTGTGAGTGATAACAACCCAATTGATTGAAGTCGTAAAATGAGTGATGTAAAATTTATGTTAATTGACGAATTCACACCCGAATTCCAATACACAATCGAGTTATTGCATTGAAGGGTTAAATTTTCAGAGATTAAAAGTCTAAAAGAGTACAACCCAAATTTTAATTTTTTGTCACTAGTGAAATTTTGATTAGGCAAGAAAGTATCAGTAGGGGTTATCAAAGGTGGACTAGACCAAAACGGTGAAATTTTGGAGAACAAAGTTACCTAAGTCATCGAGGGCGGCGGAAGAGACACCGCGGCTGGCGATGTTGGACTGCCAGACGAGGAACTGGAAGGAAGCAGAGAAATCGGCGGCTCCGGAATCACCGTTGACTTTCCAGACTAGGATGCCGTTGTAGGTGATGGCGATGAAGTATACAGAGCCATCGGCGATGAAACCTACAGAGAATGTGTTGTTTGGGGATGGCCATGACTGGTTCAAATTGAAGGCCAAGAGAGTTAAACCAAGTTGAATGTTTTGTGAGCGAATAATGAAAAATAGAGAGAATATGAAGATGATTGACAACAATGGCTTTATTTTCTCCACTCTCTCTCTCTCTCTTCTACACTCTTAATCTCTCATCTTTGATATGTATGGCTGTATAATAAAAGGAGGAGGATGAGAGAGACAGAGACAGAGAGAGACCAAGTCCTTATTGACTTGAAGCATAGAGAGTAGGGGTCATGGTTGTGTTGGTCAGTCACGGGCAGTGATGTTAGTCTTGAATAAAGGGCTTTTTTGTCTTTTCACAAGCAAAAGCAAGGGTGATATGGTTATTTTCTATAGAATACTAACATCGCTTATGTAAAATAGACAGAATAGGAGAATCTTGACATTGTTAAGTAAAATAAGAGAAGTTACTGTAATTATTCAAATCATAAAAAAAAAATTTGTATTTATCAAAAACTCTGAAGGAGGTAAATGTAATTTATTCTAAATTCTTTAAACGTACCATACCATAGTGTGTTTCCCATTTATTAATGACATGATGACAATGTTGATTAAAATTTTGCTTTACCGAACAATTCCACGTCTTCTCCCACTACACCAAACCAGAATCCAACAATTTAGAGAGAGAGAGAGACATTTCATAGAGAGACAGAAACTGACTTTTTTAGAGAGAGAGAGAGTGAGAGAGAGAGAGAAAGTAAAGACCAGAGAGAGAGAGACAGAGAGAGAAAGAAGATGTTGGAGTCGTGTTACAGGCCGCTGGGGCGATGCTTCGGCTTTGCCGGCGGCGGATGCGGTGGGTGTTGCGGCGGAGGAAGTGGTGGCGACGGACTTCTCTGGGACATGGACTTGAAACCCCACGCCTCTGGCGACTATTCGATTGCCGTGGTTCAAGCTAATTCTTCGCTTGAAGACCAAAGCCAAGTTTTCACCTCCCCTTCCACCACCTACGTCGGCGTCTACGACGGCCACGGCGGCCCCGAGGCCTCTCGATTCATCACCAACCACCTGTTCTCTTACCTTCACAGTATGTTCCTAAACCCTAATTTCCATTCAATTTTTAGTTCTGTATTTGTATGTATGTATGTTATGTGCGTATGTTGAGGATTTAAACAAGTACAATATGCTAGGTTTTGTTACTTTGTTGATTTGGAATTTTCTCAACCAAACAGATTGTTATGGAAAATCGGAGGAATATATAATGGGAGAGATCATGCCTTTTCATTTTCTTTTTCTTTTTTAGCATAAGGAGAGATCATTCTTTAGTCTTGTGTTTTATGTTATACTAGAACGTGTGCAGTGTGCTATGAAATCAATAGGTTGATCGTTTATTGATTGACGCACAAAAAAAAAATGTAGATGAAGAGAAAGAAAACTGGAGAAATTATAAAAATTTGAAGTTTGGAATTTAAAATAAAAAGGAAGGCAATTGCATGGCAATTTGGGAATGAAAAGGTCATGACAAAGCTTCGAGTTGTAGGGTTTGTATCATAGAATCGATAATAGAGTAGGTGGTTTTTTTTTCTTTCAAAAATATAAAATTTAAGAAATGGTTTTATGGATTTATCAATTTTGGTTACACAGAGTTTGCTTCGGATCAAGGAGGATTGTCTGCAGATGTGATTAGGAAGGCATTTGATGCCACTGAAGAGGAATTTTTGCATTTGGTGAAGCGATCATGGCTAGCTCAGCCTCAGATTGCTTCGGTTGGTTCTTGTTGTCTTGTTGGGGTGATTTCAAATGACATCTTGTATGTGGCGAACCTTGGGGATTCGAGGGCAGTGCTTGGCCGAGCAGTATCAGATGGGCCAACCAGTAAATCTACCAATGTGGTGGCAGAGCGCTTATCAACAGATCATAATGTTGGGGATGAGGAGGTGAGGAAGGAAGTTGTGGCACTTCATCCTGATGATTCCCACATTGTTGTGTATACTCGTGGAGTTTGGCGAATTAAGGGCATAATTCAGGTATCAATTATGGCTTTTGTTTGCTTGTTGAATGGAATTTCTATGGTTGGAACATCTTTAATCACTTATTTTCTATACTAGTCATTGACTTTTATGTTGTATTCGACTATTAAGTTAATAGACAAGCATTGGTTTAGATGAATTGTCATAGTTTGTTGTCATCATAATGGGGACAAATCTTGTTGGGACGTGGACAGTGATCAGTAATGATAAATTCATTAAATGCATACAGAGATATGCAGTTTTTTTTCATTGGTTTTTGTTTGCCGGTATGAATTATCTTCTCTCTTCCAAAAACCTATCGCATAGGACTGGTTTGCTTCTAGTTTTGCAGCTCAAGAGACAACTATTTTGGTCTTTGAATGCTTAACTTTTCTATGAATGGTGAATTAGTGCTTGGGCTATTCCCCATCACCTGTCAAAACTGTTGAAGCTACTGTGGTATTCATGGTGTAGTTGATATGTTGAGAATAATCATCACTGTAATTTGTGCATTACTTCTCTTATGTTCTTGCTGGGTGTTTGGTTTCTCTTCTGGATTAATCTTGGGGCTGTTCAGCTGGTTTTAACTTAATCATATTAAACATGTTAGGCTCTATTACAGACTTTTGTTTTTGTTTTGTTTATTTCCTTGTTTGCAAGGTAAATAGCACCAATGCAGCCTGCGGTCTGCCAATTTTTTTTTAACCATTTTCATTTCTTTAGCTTGACAAACCTATTTCAGGATTTATCTTAGAGTAGAATCTTTTTAACTTATACAAGAGGTCTTGACCCCCTAACAAATCATAAAAGCAATTTTTTTTTTTTTTTTGCAAGTGTAATAATGGTGTCCTTTATTGCAGAATTGGATTACTCTAATCATAAAAGCAAATTTTTTTTTTTTTTTTGCAAGTGTAATAATGGTGTCCTTTATTGCAGAATTGGATTACTCTAAATGGCATGTCTTGCCTTGTTGGCCACCCTTTCATAGAATCAAAAGTACAATTGTGATGTTTTCATTGGGCTCACAAGTCATGAGATGCACATTAAGATCTAAAAAGCATATTGCGGCGCTAATTGAAATATTTTTTATTCTTCTTTTCATCCAGGTGATTTGCATTGCATGCTTATGATGGTATGCTCACCATTGCAAATATCAGATGCCTATTTCGTTTTGCAATCAAAGAGATATATAATATAACTTTTATGGCTATACCTAATTGCAGTGAGTACATGGCTGTAATGGTTTCAACTTCTGGACCATTGGACTGGTTTCCTTTTTGTACTTGGTTGTATGGGTTGTACGGGACAATTTTCTATAAATGCTTACTATTTTGTTTTTGTTTTTTTGTTTTTTTGTCCTTTTCATTTTATATGTTATTGATTGCTGCTAGTTTACCCCATGGAGTTGACATTTGTGCGTAATTTAGCATCATCTATTCAAATATCTTTATGATCTTTCTTTTAATTCTTTCCTCTTAATAGGTGTCCAGATCAATCGGAGATGTTTATCTAAAGAAACCCGAGTTTAACAGAGATCCTCGTTTCCTGCAATTTGGATCACCTGTTCCTTTAAAAAGAGCTGTAGTGTCAGCAGAGCCTTCTATCTTGATTAGAAAGTTAAGGCCACAAGACTTATTCTTGATATTTGCATCGGATGGCCTCTGGGAGCAACTAAGCGATGAAGTAGCTGTTGAAATCGTCAAGAAAAGTTCAAGAGTTGTAAGCGCTGCCACTGCTCTTTCATTATTCTCTCTATTCTGCTATGCTTTGTTACTAAAGTGTTTGGCATGCAAATTGGGATTAACCCATCATGATGTCAGCGTTATATCATTAATCACTTCTGAATTCTTATTTTCTGATTTATTTTTTTAGGGAATAGCAAAGCGCTTGATTAGAGCTGCCCTGCAAGAGGCTGCAAAGAAAAGAGAAATGAGCTATGATGACATAAAAAGAATTGAAAAGGGGGTTAGGCGCCATTTCCACGATGATATCACAGTGATTGTGATATATCTGGATCGTCAACAGCGCTCTCCAAATGGGAAATGCAAGGATTACCGGATGGTTGATTGCACTAGCGCCCCAGTTGATATTTTCACGCTTAACTCAGATGAAACAGAAAATACACCTCAGACTTCTCCCTGAACAGTCCTTAGACATGGTGCTGGCGTGTAAATACAATGGTAAATTTTGTTTGTTTCAGTTTTTCTAAACGGGAATATATGGGATTTCTGGGTCATAATTAGAGAGGTGTTGTAAATAATCTTGTGAAGGAGGGATGAGAGATTTAAGCTGTTTGCTTCCCGGCTTGGGTTTTGACCTCATTTCTTGTTTTGTTTTTGTTGTGTATGTGTGGGTATGTATGTTTTATATAACTGAGATTGAATTATAAATCCTTTTTAAAACACAGCCATTATTTGTTTGTTTTCCCTCTTAGATTTCTTTTTTCTTTTGTATTTTGGTTTATATGTTTACTACACAGAGAGGCATGTTTTGAAGAAAATAGTGACACCAGCAAGCTCACCATTACTATGGCCGCCACCACCCGCTTCCGCACACGATGTCTATTGGTTTTTAGTTCATTTTATACATATGGAATAACTTATTTTACTTTAACATGTAAATTTTGTCAACTAATTTTTCTGACTCGAAAAATTCAGGGTTTGATTTTTAATTTTTAATTCTCAATTCTCAATTTGGGATTAATTGCGTGGAGACCTCTTAAACTATTACCAAGAATCATTTTGATCTCTTAAACTAAAAAAACGTATAATTAAACCCTTTTAACTATCAATATTGGGATTTTAGGCAATTGTCTAAGTGGTTACGGAGAGTATACTTAGGTGCCAAGGTTCCTGAAGTTGAAGTTCAAGTCAATGGAAAAATGTTAATGCGTTGTAATATCAAGATTGAATATAACTGTTAAGATTTTATTTATTATAAAATATCACTTTATACCTTACCTATCTATCGTCAAGGTACTCCATGATACAACTGTATAAGGTGTGTGTGTGAAATTTTAGTAATTAAACATGTTTTGTTAATGCAGTTACAAAATGTTAATAATTTAAAGAGTCAGTTTGCATATATTTTTTTAGCTTAAAAAATTAAAATGATATTTGACAATAATCTAGAAGGTGTCCTTCGTGCATCAAATACCACCTAACCCTACGGCTCAAAAACCCTTAAACCATGTCCTCCTGACAGAAGGATCAACAAAATGTTCTTTTTTCGCACTATTGTCAATTAGCCATGATGTATGGTATGGTTAATACACAAAACATATGGAGGGAAGAATAGGTAAAACGAGTTGTGGAATGTCAATAATGTTGCAATTACTATGATAGTCTTGTATGAATGGATAACACCTCAATGCAGTTATTGAGGTGAAAGAAATCAAAAACTGTGTGCCAGTTCATTGAAGAAATGGGATTGAGAGTGAAAAAAAAGTAGTGGAAATCTTACCCAAAAAAATACAAATTGGACCATTCTAGAGGCGAAAAATTATTGATTGGTCTTGGGGTGTCATGTGGTCATACCCCACACCAATCACAATTTACTATACCATCATGTTTTTCAATCACCTAATACAAATTCGTAGGTCTCACCCCCTCCACCAATCATAACATCGGTGGGGCACCACGTGACGGTGTCCCAAAACCAACCAATTACTTCTCTCTAGAAACAGTAATCCAATCACATGGTATTATTCATGTGATATTTTCATTAAAATTTTATAGATGAGAGGACATTGATTCATATTTGTTATTGTTAAGTAGTTGAAAAATAAATGATAATTTATTTAATATGTTTTGTAGTATTTCATTTGTAAAGAACACCCTATAAGAATGTCACATGTATCTTAGAATTACTTAATAAATTTTCATATATAGGTGCATTATTCATAAAAATAAGGGTAAATTACACTTTAAACCTTCAAGTTTTAGTGTCTTTTTGCTTTGGCTTTTAAAATTTATTTCTTTCCCACCTAATATTTCTAAACTCACCCATTTTATAATGTTTATTCAATTGCAGATGAAAATTACAACGTTAATAGTCACATAACATAATAACACCATTACCCGGTTTGATTCTTAAAGTTTTTAACCAATTTGGCTCTTAACATTTATAATTTTCTCAATTTGTTCCAATAGCTAACTCTTGCCCAAAATTGCACGCATGGCATCCATGTTGCTCCCAACTCAGACCTTACATTCCATTTTCTCCCAAATATCTACTGAAATAGCAAGCGGATTTGAGAGAGAGATGTTCAATGTTGTCAATTTGAATAGATTGTGATTATAGATGCTAAATGGTGGTTTTGAGGTATTGGTGGTGTTAGTGAGGAGGTGAAGTAGAGTTGTGGATGATGATATTATTTAGTTGTTAATGATGGTAGTGAAGAGGGAGAGTTTTTGTGAAGAATTGAGTCTCAGAGTTAGAGTGCAAAATGGAAGAAGAAGAAAAGAGTGGGAAGTTTAGGAGTGTTATTGGGCCAATGGAGGGAGTCCATGGTTGGGTTCGGTGGAAGGAAGTGATAAGGAGGTAGTGGCTATAGGCATAGGTTTGAGTCTAAATTTGTATAATAGTGTATTATTATGTCATGTAGTGTTGTGAGATTGTTAATGTGTCATTTTTTAATTCAATTTTATATCAATGTTGATTGTTGAAAATAAATAAATAAAAATTGAAGACATTAAACATGGCTTCTAATGTGTTGATTTTGATTCAAAATTAGATGAATTTTAGCTATTAGAGTAAACTAGAAAATTTAGAAACATTATTGGGGGGCAAGATGAGAAAATATTGAAATTTAATAGGGGAAGATATAATTTATCTTAAAATTAAAATATATATAGTATAAAAAAAAAAATTGTGAGTTGTCGTCATCATTGTAGAGAAACAGGTTAGAAGGGAGAGAGCGTGTTCCTGTGATTGGGACTAGCGGTAAATGAATCAAACAATTGGAGCGTGATTGATGTTTGGTTTGTTAAAAATTCATTAGAACTCAATTTATTAAGTAAATAAATTAACTTTAAACACATTTTTGAATTTATTAAAGATTTCAAACTGAGATCGTTTGGGGTGTTTTAAATAAGTGTATTTTTTGATTTTTTAGATTAAAAAGTAAAGAAAAAAATATGATTGTTTAAGATAACTTTTCGACTTTTTATGAATAAAAATGTGTATTAAAATATTATATAAAATAACAAAATTACTATATTACTCCTATATATATAAATGACTGCTGACAGTGATGGTACCGTTATGTATACGGTGGACAACTAGGACCAGATTGCCTACGGTGCTGTTCGGACTGGACAGTGTTGTTCGGTCCGTGGGGACCCACCACGGGCCCTGTTTTGATAATCAGAACCGTTTAATGTGTAGAACTCATCAAGTACGACACAATTATACAAAATCACGTTGATCGGATGTCGATAGCTATCTGATCCGATTACTTTTTTGTCAACCGTTACTTTGTACACCATCTATTTTTTTTATACAAAACTGATCTAATCATATAGTTATCAATATCCGATCAACGGGATTTTTTATAAGCATATAGTACTCGACGATTTCTACATATTCCACGATTCCGATTTTCAAAACGGGACTCGTGGTGGATTCCCACTAGCCCAACAGTACCCGTGACACCTCAGCCTATTTACATATATGTTCTGACAGCACATCATTCCAATAATATTTATGGGTACTTACGTATAGGTTCTAATAAGTTGAATTATTATCTAATAGGTCCTATGAGAAAAATTTGTCATAAAAAAAGTCACTGATTGTAAGTTTTAGTGACAATTTATAAAAATCATGACAAAAAAAGTCACTAATTGTCAATTTTTAGCAACATATATAAAACATTGTCACAAAAAAAATATTTTTAGCGACAATTTTACCAAGACTTATTTTCAATAGGATTTGATGGGAAATAAGTCCAACTATTAAGACCTATTGATAATTTACCTTAATATTTATTCACATATATATACATATATGATCTAACAGCACCAGACATCACCATCATTGCCATGCCAAAACTTGACTTGTACTTTTTTTTAAAAAAAATTATATATATATTTTTTAAATAGTGATAATTTTTTAATTTTTTTAATAATTTTTTATCTTTTTTCATGGATATCAAACCAGCCCTAAGCTTTTTTTTTTTTAGAGAGAAAACCAGCCCTAAGCTTGAACAGTGAATTATTCGTTGGACTCATTAAAACTAAATAAAAATACCAAACTATTTGAGTTTGACTCGACTAAAACTCGTTTGAGATTGGCTCGACTACCATAATGAACCAAGTCTAAATAAATTTTAAAACTCAATAAAATTTTCAAATCAAACTCTAATAATAAATCGTTCAACTTGTTCGGCACATTTATCACTCCAAATTGGGACACTATAGTCACGGACGCATGCAATTGTTGTGCATTTTTTATGATTTTATTTTGGACCATTTTTTATAATTCAAAATTTTCCATTTTTTAAATCTATCAATTAAATTGCTCATGTAAATATTTAAATTGGCACAACCTGTGGATTTTTTTTTTATCAACAAAAGTCAATTGTTAGTTATTAGATTAACACTTATAATAGTTAGACTTTACATTCAGTGATTGGCTCCTAATTTAACTCTCCATTAAGTAAAATTGAACTCATAACTTTCCTCTAGGAAATTATTTAATAATCTCGAAATATCACGTGGCCATATTTCAAGTCAATCACCAATTACTTAACCCCCATGTTGTTTCTCATCCCCAACATAAATCGTAAATCCCTATCCCTCTCCACCAATCAAAATCTTATAGAGTACCACGTGTCCATACTCCGAAAATACTAAATAATCACCTCTTCCGTCTTGGAACTAAACCCTTAAAGTTATGATGGCCCAACTAAATTAGACCTAGTTGGTTAAATCCAAACAATCCATAACATACAGTTTTATAGTTGTTCTTTAGGAAAATTATTAATTTGTATGTTTAGGGGAACTGATAAAGTTTGCTTATGATGTTTTATAATCTGATCTTCATATTCGTCTTCATTCTTAATTATAGATATCAAAATGACTTTATTTCTAAAATATAATTTAGCCTCACGCGTAAAAGTGGCACTTCTTGTCTCTTTTTGTATAATGTTTGTGATCTATATTCTTTTCTAATTTTTTCTTTTAATTATTACACTGTAATGTCTATTTTTATAAATCCAACATTGTTTATTTGTTGCAAACTATTTATCCAACATCATTTATTTTTTTGCTTGAAAGACGTTGTTCCCATTTTGTTAAACCAAGTCTAAATAAATTTTAAAACTCTGTAAAATTTTCAAATCAAACTCTAATAATAAATCGTTCAACGTGCTCGGTACATTTATCGTCCAAATTGGGACACTATAGTCACGGACGCATGCAATTGT